TCAGGCCCCGCTCGAGGCCGGTGGTTCGTGGTGAGGTTTGGCCGCCCCGCTGGACTTAAGCCGGATCCGTCCGCCCGGGTGCTGGGACCCCCTGCGCAGCCCCCACGCTGCTTAAGCAGCCAGCGCTTGGGACGCAAACTGGTCAGAGGGGCCCTGCGTTCCGTTACGGTCTCAGCACCTGAGGATACGCGACTGTACTTGCCTCCCCGAGGCTTTGTAAAGTCCTCGGGCCAGCGCTGGGGATGTGGAGCGCCTACGTGACTCGCCCAAGGTCACGGAGTACACGCGGAGCCAAGGCACTGCTCGCTCTCTGTAGCATCTTTCTGAAGCCTGCTTTTCCGACCTGAGGCCTGCCTCTTCCCTTCTTCACGGTTCTAGCCTGCGGTGCAACTTACGGGGTTTTAGTAGTTACTCTGACTTACGTGTTTCGGTTGTTTTTGTGCTTAACAGTGAGGGTTCGGCTTTTTTGCTGCGCCTGAAAAACGTGCCTTTCTGCCGAGGGTTTAACAGTAGAAATGAACTTTCAAACGTGTTTGTTAATTAGCTTAAGAGTTCAACCGACGAACGCCCGAGCTGTTAGAACCGCACGCCTGCGGTTTTCTTCTGCGCGGCCGCTCCCGTTTTTGCCGGCCGCCCGGACGCAGCGCGACCGTTGCGACGGAGCCGATTATCCCCGGCGCGCGGCGCGTGGTTTGCATGGAGCGCGCCTATTGGCCCGGATGAGCCCACAGTGAAGTGCAGCGGTACGTGCTGGAGGCTGCCATTGGTTAGAGTGCGCGGGCCGGGGGCGCCCGGCCCCGCCTCACCCCTCCCCTGCCCGGCCGCGCTTCCCATCCGGGCCAGCTCGGGAAACAGGTCTCTGCGAAATAAGCCTTGCGGTCCGCCGGCGTGTGTCAGGTACACAGCGTGTTTCTGGGGAATTTTACGTTAGCTACGGAAATACTCCGACAGGCGGCCTTCATTTTGCGCTGTGCTCAGGTCACAAGAAGGATAGAGGGAAAAAAAATGCAGGAATCAGTTTAAACTAATCTGACATCACCTCGTCACTGCACGATTACTGCACAGTGTCGCTGGAGGGTGGGAGGAAAGTTGCTGGGGTGCCCTGCTTGAGCACTGCTTTCTGTGATGGGGTGGGATTTTTTTTTTTTGCGTTATATTCTGAACTTTCAGGAATCCTAATACTTGTCTGAGGATTTCCTTACAGCATTCTCGTAGGCTTTTTTAATGCTTTTAATGCTAATTATACTAAAAAAATTGAACGTTTTTAATGTTCCTCTTTTAACAGAGTTGTGTAAAATCGAACAACTGACAATCACTGTCGGGGGGGGTTAAATGATTACAAACAGCTAGGAAAAAGAAAACGTCATTGAAAACCTGGAAAATAATGCTGAAAATGAGAAGGGATAGAGTGTTATGGGAGTTTGCACCTGCATTTATGGCTAAGTACCATCTTGTGTGACTATCAAAGATCTATTAATAGTGTAGTATTGTTTATAAATAACAAAGTATAATTTTCATCGGTTTTATTAGGTATTGAAATAAGATGCTTATCATCAGAATTAAGGTGGGTTATTTTTAACAGAATTTACTAAAAGCTAATGTAGAACAATGTACACTTTCCCTTTGTAAATTATGTACTAAAATTTCTTTTAAAAGGAGTCTGGATCACAAGATCAGTGACTCAGAAATTAATAAATGCCAAACTGACAGTTTGTATACAGCCTTTACTCTGTCCCGATGTGTGCACACAATGAGGCAGTAATTTTAAGGGGAAAGGTAGTACCTCCATGTCTTCCTACTGCCTGTATCGTAATGCAGAAAATAATCTCATACAGTCAGGTGGG